AATATCTAGAATTTTCTACGGTGGAATTAGGAGCTGGTTAACACGCAGGAGGCGAACCCTGGCCATCGATAACTTCTGTTAAATTTCTCTCCTGAAGTAAACCGAGTGGTTGGCGATAGGGACGGGGTGCCGCCGTCAACTGCGCGGCAGGGCTAAGAAAATCGACCAGAACCTTCATGTTTTCCACGACGATTTGCGGGGTAATTGCCTCAGGAAAGTGCTTCCCTGCCCAATGGAAAAATTCACGGACCTCCACGAAACGTGTGATCCCCATCGCTGCCTCGCGCTCCTTGACCTTATTGCCAATCCACTTCGGCTTTTTACCGCCCTTTGGCAGGCGTGCTTCGGCGATCTCGCCCGCGTTGTTGGACATCAAGATGCAGCCCATTGGAATGGGCCCAAAGGTGGGCGATCGCAGGAGCATCTTGAAGAAGTACATGGGCATGTACTCGCTCTCGTCGCGCTGGTGGAGCACCCCGATGTGCCCGCTGATCACGACCAGCCCTTCGCCTCCTTCTCCATCGACAAATTTGCGGATGGCTTCCTCCACCGCCTGCATGTTGCCGCTGTTCACAGTCCTCTTGGTGGGGTAAATGTTGTACGGCATCTCCATCGTCCGCTTCCTGCTGTCGATGGTACTCATGTCGCCGTATGGCACACTGTGTCCCTTGTTGGTGTCATGGTTATCTTTGTAGTATCTGTGAAATGCTTTGACCCTATCCGAGCCAATCCAGTATTTCTTGGATCTTTGGGGCGTGTGCCGGTTCGGTGGGAGGTGGTGGACGGTGAATAGGGGCATACACTGGTCCTCTGTGGGTGCCCTCAAACACGAAATGTAGGAGTCGCCTATCATGAGAAACCGGACATCGTGCCCGGTCGCGGTCGTGACCTGCATCACCTGCCGGGGGTCTGGGGAGGGAGGGGGGGCGGGGAACGCCTGCTGTAGGACGAAATTCGTCGCTTCGGGTCTGTCAAGGGCCCAAGTGTGCTCACTACAGGCTTTGTAGTATAGTTCCTTTTCCTCGAATTCGTAGTCTGCTCCCACGAAAACCTTGCTGCCGTTTGGGGGAATTGGGATGGGGGCCGCAGCCGCATGGTTTGGGGTCATATTGCGGCCAATGCCGTGTCTGTCCCTCCTAGGGTCATCATGTGGATTGTGTGCTGGGTCAGTGTTACTTGTTTCACCGATGGCATTTGCCAACCCTTCCTCCTCACGCACCTGCTCCATGGATGATGAATGCTGCTATTGTGGACGATGTTCTCTCTGTGAAGCTCCGATCACTACTGAGTGTGTGTCCGGTAGTGTGCTCTATTTTAACCCTGGTCGGGATGGGTATTACCGTGGTGTTATCAATTTTACCCTCCGTACGATGGTTACTTGTGTGGTCAAAGTGCGATTGGATGTGCTGCGTATTACTGTTAGGTCTGCGTGTTGTGCTTATGGGGCGGAGACGGCCCCCTATACACTTGATCGCTACTTAATATCAGCCGCGAGAGGCGCAGCTTTTCGGACGGAGTTTGCAGATCGCCAGTGCTCTCCTACAGGGTGTGATGTGGCGAATCTGGAAAACAACGCCGAAAAGTACCAGTTACAATTGGTTTGTTGTTCATTTGCAACCTGAAACCTTTAAAAGGAGCTTCCTAAAAAGACGCGACTCGCGGCCCCTTTCCGACTGCAGCGATGCGTTGCGGAGGAATGCGGCACTACGTCGACGCGCTGTGGTCTCTCGTGTGGCGAGAAAAGGAAACAAACAAATAAAAACAACCCTGCGGCTGGACCGCCGGCCTCGGTGGCTCAGTCACGCGTCACCGGGATAAGTGGATAAGTGGAGCACACAAAGGAACGCGCCCTTTCCCTTTCATTGAAGCTGACCTGACCTGACTCTACAACTAACTTAATAAAGGCATAACTAATGACCTCCGACCATTTTAAAAGGCTATTTTATGGCTCTGGTTTACACGAAGCTAAAAATTGGCAGATTTACTTTGTTTTAGTAATGGAGTGGGGAACTATTCGTTAAAAAAATAAATCTAAAAACTAAGTTTTTTTTTAAAACTCTTATCTAATTTTTTAATCTAATGTTTTGCCCTGAAAATGAAACTGGGTTGGAATGTTCTTCAGAATCTAATACCTCTATTAGCTGCACAATTAAATCCCGCATATTATTACATAACCTCACCTTGGTAACCTGACCTGACCGTTACTTACCTTAATTAAATTATATCCTGCCTCAATTTGCGTAGGTCCTGATTAACTGTGTGCACCGCGGAGGTGCGATAGCAGCTGATGTGAATGCTGGTGGTTTGGTTTCGGAGATTTAAATTCCGATGAAGATTTTTTTTCGGTTGATGATGCGATTTGACGGGTAGTGCAACTAGTGCTGATTTTTTTTTTTTTTCGATAATGCATCAATTTGGACTTTCTGTTTGGGGAATAGTCCAGTCAGATTGTTGGATTCACTGTCTTTTTGTCTTGATGGTCAGACTTGAGCGCAATAAACTCTTTAATTCCGTTATTGTGCCGAGTTCTGCCGCGCCCGCGACAAGCCGTTTATTGGAGTACCGTTCGGTGACGTGGCTAGATCTCGACTGGTGTCGCCCGACCGGCCTATCGGCCTCGGCCTCTCCTCTGTGCTGCACCTCGGGCGGGCCCGGCGGGCCCGGTGGCGCCCGACGACCCCCCACCACTAATTGGCCGTTTTACTAAACGTAGACGGATTATAATATAGTCCGTTGAAGATCGGGAGCACATTTTAATTTTAATTTCCCCATGCTTTTACCGCCGACCCATTGCTTAATGCCGGGCCGAGACCCTCGGATTAGCTTGTTGTCCTCTGCGCGTTATCGCAGAGGAATCACCTCATCATCCACCTGCTAAAAATCACCCCCGCGCCGCCTATCAGCCCCGGGCGCGGCGAGCGGCCTCTCGACTCTCGCTCTCGGCGGATCTCGCGTGTAATCTCACTTGTGGAATATTCCGCCGCGGCCAAAAGCTGCCTGCGCTTTGGGCGACGCTTGTCCGTTGCCGAGGTCAGCGTGCCAAGGACTTGCCGTGTGTGTGTCGCCAATCAGCAACGGCAGCAGGGCCCTTCAGGCCGGTTGCAATGCAATTATCTCGCTGGCAGTGACTTTGGTCGCCGTGCTCGCGCCCTTCGGCTCGCCCTTCGGCCCTCGGGCTCGGCCACCTTCGCCTCGAGTGCGAAGGTGTCGGTGTCATTCACCCCGCGGCCGTGCATTCGAGTGTGGCCGCCCCCCCCCCTCCCCTCCTCCCTCCCCTCCTCCTTCCCCTCCTCCTTCCCCTCCTCCTTCCCGCCCCCCTTCCCGTCCTTTCTCTCTCGAGCGCGCTCGGCTGGCTGGCCCGCCCGGCGCGCCCCTGCGGTGCGGTGGGTAGGCCGCCCGCTCCGCCCCGGTGCTGCGCGCGGCGGTATCCTGTGGCCTCCCCGTGTCTCTCTCTCTCTCTCTCTCTGCGGCCTCGACGGCTGCTGCTCCCCTTTTTCCTGTGTGACATCCTGGCCGTCCTCGTCCCCTTCCTCGTTCTTATTAATCCTTATCGCGGCGGTGTGCACACTTGACATGAATAACGTGTTTGGATGAACATATATGGGGGTTTTGCAGGAGAGCCTTGGCGGCAACTCCAGCACCACGATGCTGGCCACGGTCAGCCCCTGCAGCACTCACCTCGAGGAGACCCTGGCGACGCTGCGCTACGCGTGCCAGGCCAGGACCATCGTGAACCGGGTGCACGTCAACGAGGACCCCAGCCACCGCCGCATCCGGTACGTACTACGCACGCTGCTGCACTTCACTGAAACAAAAACAAAACTGTTTATACCCTCAAAAAATCAGAAAAAAATCAAGAAATAAGAAAGAACAGATAAATTGTGCGCGCTTGAATTTCTAGTGAATTGCCCCTCGCTCGTATCCCCTTGCGGGTCGGTCCAAAACTACTTCTGAAACGATGACAATTAATGACGATGTAATGCCGCAATCTTTTATTTGTTTCCCGCAGACAATTGCTGGCGGAGATCGCCGCGCTGCGCGAGGTGCACGAGGACCTGGAGCGCCAGCAGCGCCTGGCGACCCCGCTGAGCCGCCGCACCCAGTCGCCCGCCGCGACCACCACGCCCACGGCGCAGCAGGACGTGCAGGAGCTCCGGGAGAAGCTCAGGCAGACCGAGGAGCAGCTCGCCATGGCGCAGAAGTGAGTGTCGTTTGGATCAATAAAAAGTGTTGTTCTGCCGGGCGGTGCATCAGCGCGACGTGCAGTTTGCCGTCACGGCTGTACAAACTCATTACCGTTTTATGTCCCGCGCCGTCGCCTCTGCGGCACTTCACAGTTTTGTGTGCTTCGCGAGGCTTACTGCTCTGAAGGTGGTGTATGGGAGTGATGTGTGCAAGGATGTGTGTCTAGTTGAACAGGAAGAGTTTCAAGGGCGGGTAAAGAAATCAAATACATATATAATCCAAGAAGTTGAGATATAAAATCGTAAAGTAGAGCGTATACTGTAGCTTTATGAGGTTGCGTGGCGTCGGGTGTAGGCAGTGAAGCGGCGGCAGCGCGGGTCGATAACGTAAGCGGGCGGACGGCAGCGGATACAAACGGCTGTCTGGATCGGAGTGGCGTTTCACGGAGATCGATCAAAGTCGATGCGGAGCAGAGCGGCTAGTGCTGGAGCGCAGGAGCTGGTCGATGCGGAGTCCGCGCAGAGTGGGCGGCGCTCGGAGCTCTGGAAGCGGAGTCCAGGACTATAGGGCGTCGTCGTGGAGCTGTCGTGCTGCTGGACTGCAGTCCATGGAAGGTCCTCGCTGTCTGGTGACTGACTGGCGGTGCACGGCTCAGGCTGCCCCATATGAGGGGTTGAAACTATGGATTGCGTGTGTAAGACTCGTTAGAGTCCTGTACTCAAAGGACTCGTATACCCATAGTACTCCTATACCCATAGGACTCTAAACCTCGTGAGACCGCTGAGTCACCCACTCAACGCTAATTGGCCAGAGCCGGTCATATCGCGTCACCCGGGCCGGGTGACAGGACAGGACGACAGGACACGCACGCATCCGGTGTGGAGTGGGTGACTCAGCGGTCTCACGAGACTTACATTAGAGTCCTATGGGTATAGGATAGGGCTCTAACGGGTCTTACACACGCATCTCCGGCCAGGCGACGTGTCGGCGCCTGTCCGGTGAGTCATACAATGCACGCGCCGGATTTAGGTCAAATCGTCAGTGTGTAACCATACTAACATTTAAGTCGTGGCTGCTATGTAAAAGTTAAACAATGTGATATTTAGAGTATTGGAGTAGCTATGCAGAGTTTGTCTCAAAACGGCACACAATATAGCAGGTGGCTGTCTCACGTCGCGCCCTTTCGTAGGTAGACTGTACCGCATGTACGCGTGTGGGCGGGTTGCCTACTCGCACGGGGTCATACGAAGCTGTAGGCAGCGAGGATAGGCTAACTCGCCCGCACGCGTGCATGCGGTATGGTATAACTATAAGAGTGCGCGACGTGAATCAGCCACCTCGTATAGTGTAACCGGCTAGCAGCTTTCATGTTTTCAGCTTAATAAATAGTTTGCAGTATGCCTGTCACCTCTGTGGCCTCCCGCACCACACAGTTTGTGCTTCACGGGGCTTACTGCTCTTGAAGGTTTGTGTGTCGAGTGACTCCGCAGCTGTGCTAACACCCTCTGCCCTCAATATCCAGGTCGTGGACGGAGCGTCTCCGCGAGGCCGAGCGCTGCAAGAGCGCCGAGGTGAACCTGCTGCGGCGCCGCGGCGTCGCCCTCGCCCTGGACGGGCAGCAGCTGCGCGAGCAGCCGTGCCCCTTCCTCGTCAACCTGACGCCGGACCCCAGCCTGTCTGGCGCCCTGCTCTACCTGCTGCCCCCGGGCCCGGTGCGCGTCGGCCGCCTGGACCCCGCGGGCCGGGTCGCGAGCACCCCCGGCAGCCCCGCGCCCGGCCGCAGCCCCACGCCCAGCAGCGCCGGCGCCAGCCCCGCGCTCGGCCGCAGCCCCGCCAAGACGCCCAGCAGGTCGCCGACGCAGCCGCCCCACATCCAGCTGGAGGGCCCCCTCGTGCAGAAGCACCACTGGTGAGTCGGAACCCCCCGCGACTTCGCGCCACGCGCCACGATGACGTCCCTTTGGATTAGCCGCGCAGGCGAGCAGCGCGCGGGCCGCAAATGGGGGACACGTTTATGCCGTTTGCCGTCTTTTTATGGGCGCCTGGGACGGCGCCGCTCGGAGGCAATTGCAGGTGCGGTCTGATGCGCGCGCAAAAAAAAATGTGGAAGAGAAATAAAATCGATGAAACGGAGGCGGAGAGAAGGAGGAGGAGGGGTTTCCCATGATTGGGGTGGTTGTTGTTATGGGCAGTCGATTAGTCGGTCCGGGGACGGAGGGGGCAGGGGGCAGGCCCAACCGGAGGAGGAGGATGTGTGGGGGGAGGGGAGGGGGCGGGGGGCGGTGCCATACCATATACGCACTGGTGTCAAGTCCCGAGCGGGCCCGATTGCTGACGGCACAAAAGGCAAGTCGGGGCGAAGACAGTGTCGTCTTTCTCTTTCTCTCCCCCTTGTTGACCTGGGCTCGGCCGACTCGGCTCGGCGCGGCCCGGCTACACTTGGCGGAGTGTGGCGTGCCGTGCGTCGTGCGTCGCCGTCGTCGTGCGTCTCGAGTGTGGTTGATGCGTTTCATGGGGTTTTGCCTTGTGACGCCGCGCGTGCTACTTGTCGTGCAGCTGTCGTGTAGCTGGTGTTTGCAAGGAACAGCGGGCGATTAAGCGATCAGCCTCGCGGTGGTGGGGTGGGCGTGTGCCGGCGCCAGGGCGGGAGTGGCGCTAGGTCAGGCCTAGAGTCAGGCCGCCACGGGCAAGGCCAACCTGCAGGGCCACCGACAGGGCCACCTGTTGGGCTGGGGGTGGTTGCCATGCTCCTCACCAAGGCGCGCACCCCGCGCGCGGAGTGGGAGCGCTGGAACATGGTCCGGCTGGGCGTGGCGGGCAGCGACGTGTAGGTGCCGCCGACGACTGGACTCGAACCCCGCACCCCCCGCACCCGGGGTGACACCAGCCTGGAGCGCCGGGCTCAACACTTGTTTACTTCTTGTTGCAGCACGATCGAGAATCGCCAGGGGCGCCTGACACTGGAACCGGGTCGTGAAGGACTGACGTTTGTCAACGGGAGAGCCGTCACTGGACGCACGGTTTTGCACAATGGTGACCGTCTTGTGCTGGGAGGCAATCACTACTTTAGGGTCAGTAATCCTCATGAGAAGTCAAATAGCAATGAGCCACCAGCAGACTTTGATTTTGCACACAATGAGATTCTTGCCGTTCAAGAAGCCAGGTAAGCAATACTGATAAGCCCCTTTCTTATAGTTACTATTAATTTATTGTCTTGGTGCTGATTCAATCAAAGGAAAATGTTTATATGGTATATTGCTTTGACCAGATTGAAAGCAGAATTAGAAGAAGCAAAATTCAAAGCCATGAAAGAATTGGAAGAAGCGAAGCGTGAAGCAGAATCTCGTTTAATGATGCAACGGTCAGATTATGAACAACAGTTGCATCAACTAGGACAAACACTGGTACGCATGCATGCCTATCTCAACTTTTAAAATGGTCTTCTTACTCACTTAATTAATCTAATCTAACTTTTGTACCTGTAGGAGCAACAAAGGGATGCTTTGTTTAATGAGCGCAAAGAGAAGCAGCAATTGGAAGTTCAGAAAACTGCTTTGGAGGCAGAAATGAACAGACAGTTAAATTCTGTGAGGTCTGCCTCTCCACCACCTGTAGAAGTAACTCCCCACCGAAGTAGATTCATTGAGGTAAATTATAAGTTCCCATTTTTCAATGTTCCCAATAATTATCAATACTAAAAAAAATGTTTTATATGTTTTTTTAAAGGATTTGGAAGCGCTTTTGAACTCTTCTATGCATGCCTTGGAAAATGATACTACTTGTACATCTCCTGGTACCTCTATGAGCTTTAATGAAAGGTATCCGTATAGCTCTACAAGTTTGCACGAGATGCAAATGCAAGTGAGAGAGGCCTCTCAGAGGTGTAAAGAACTTGGTATACCATTTGTAAGTACCTCGGAAATCATACCTCATTGGAACCCATAGAATATGGTGCTAGGAATCCTACCCTGACCCAGTATCTTATCCTACCCTAAAACTTCTGTCATACTTGCTTTCCCAGGATTTCCAACAGCAGCATGTTGTTCGTGAATCTGGTCTTGAACCAGTTGTTCGTGTTCGTGATAGCTCTCAGAGAATGTCTGTGTTGTGGACTCCTCCCACATTCTATGCTTGGTTAAATCGCTTGCGGGATTGGGACCCTGTAAGTAACTGTTCAGTTGTTACTAACATATTTGTGGTTGCATGACTTAAAGCATGTAGAGTTATTCATAAACAGCTTTAATTATTCTTTTTAATCTAATTTCGTTTTATAGGAGGACAGCATTGCAGGGCTGATATCAGGCATTGGGGAAGGTGCTGAAGAAATATGGGAAGCTGATGATAGTGATGAGTTGACAACAGATGATATTGATGGAAGCATTTCAGTCAACACATTGCCCATCCGCCGCAAGCTGAATGAAAGCTTCCAGCAGTCCCTGGTGGAGTCTCCTCTTGGTTCGTGTAAAAGTCCAGGTTTGTTTCGAACCACTGTATTGAATTAGCTGAACTTCTTTGTGAAGTAAATTGACATCCCAATTTATTTAATTTCCAGCTCATGATTCTCCAGTAATCAAGCAATGTATAGCAGAAATTGAAAGAGCTACAAAAAGACTTCGTCACATCTTCAAAGAGGGATCTAGTGCTCGCAGTCCTCTGAAGTATGTCAGCAATTTGGAAGAGGCTCTTATTCAACTAAAAAGTAGTTTACCAGGAGATGCACCTCTTTCATCAAAATCACCCTATAGCAATAGCACTCCTCAAAGTAGCAAATCTGTTAGATTTATTCCTGGTCTTGTGAAAACATGACTTCTTGCAATGCTGCATAGTGTTCTTAAGGATAAAACAGATTCTGGATTTTCACCCTTAAATAATTTTGAGAGTAGTGTAAATATTGTAAATTTTGTATATAACAAGTGTGGAAGAACAAAATCTGTTACACTATGTAGCATTGCTGTTGTAATGTACTTGCTTTTTGCTTGTAAAAAGTAGATACTGACACCTGCCTGTTGTTTTTACCATAAGAATTTAGCCATGCTATTTGATTTTTGCTGATAACATTCTTGCCACATTTGTGTGTTTTCTGTAATTTAAGGACAATTCATTTATGAGAATATTTTGTTTGTAATTCTCTCTTTTTCTAGTTGTATTGTTTGTTTTGATCCACCATTCTACCCCTTGATGGGGTAATATTTATAGTTTTTATACACTAAGTATTATTTTAACATATATTCAAATGAGCAGTGTACTAGTCTTAATATTTACTTACCTCTTTTTCTGACTAGATACTAAACAATTATAGTTCTGTTTTATAATTTTCCCCCCACACTGCTGTTTTGAGCTATATCTATTGACTTATTGCGTTGAATTGTTTTACTCATTGATTTTGGTAATAAAATACTTAAAATATTATATTATTTTCTTTTAAGGCTTATTAGCTTGTACCAGTTGACCAGTCATGACAATAACTTTCTTATTTTCCAACTTAAGAGTAAGTTTTCTGTGAAGAAGGCAAGTTGGTTAGTGCTTGTGACACACCAGGCCTCAGGGCTCCATTGTCCAGTGTTCTCCCGTTTATTGCGCCTGGGAGAAACATGGAGGCAGAGGTATAAGAGGGGAGTTTTCCTGTGCGTCGCGGCATTCAGGTTCCAAAGCAATGGATATGCAGTCCATCGCACGGCTTCGCCTGGTGGTAAGTGACTCACATTTTTAATAACACCATAAGACATACCCTCCCTGCTACTTGCTGCTGAACCTCTTTGCAGTTGTTGCTGGCGTTAGCAGTCGCCCTGCTGCAGCACGCCCAGGCCTTCATTCTACCCATCATCCTGCCGCCCAACTTGCTATGGTACGGCGGCTACACCTCCTCCCCCGTGCTGCCGCTGCCCGTGCCCCAAGTGAACCCCCTGCTGGGCCTTGGCGGCCTCGGGTACCCGCCCGCGCTCCCCGGGCTCTCCCCCTACGGCGCCGCAGCTCCCCGCCCCGCCATCCAAGGACTCTACCCCGGGGCCATTCCGGGACTCGCGGGTCGTCCTGCACTCGGGTAATGGAAAAGATACATTTAAAACTCTAAATCATGATGTTCTGTTTTGACTTTATTAAATTTTATCATTCAAAAAATTTAAAAGTTAAAGATTAAAATAATCACATTTGATATGACTAGATTGACGCAAAGTGGTAATAGAATTTTGTACAATATTTCTTGTGTTACATAACATCATTAAACAATGTTCAATGACTAAAACTACCTTAAATTACTAATTTGATACAAAGATTAAAACGTAGTAGAAAAGATGCAGCCTTGATCTCATAAAAAAGACGGAGCAATAAACCCACGAATTGAAGAATCCATAACATTTGGATGGTTTGTACGGATTTCTGAGGGGGAATTCTGATATGTGGTAGGCAGGAAAACATGAACTTCTGGAGGGGAGTTCCACCCATTTGCATGTATCAAAGTACTTTTGGGTGTGGAAGAATCAGAAACCCTGGAAAGTATTTGATCTCTTCTCTTGCAGTCCTTTACCAACAAATGTACCACTTGATTGGATGTTTTCCACTTTTGCAGAGTTTGCCAATGAAATCTGTAAAATGTATTTTATTTTCATTATCTTTCAATAATTAACACGTTCCTTGCGGCGTGACCACTATCTGGTCACACTCCCATATTAGATCATAGGCCTTAAAAATGAGCCGCAGGACACGCGTTAAAGGGAGACGAAAAACACATTTTACTTGAGGGTGAGAATTTAACAACTTCAATTCTTACCTAATAGTTATGTAGCACCAAATAACATATGTGCCAAGCAAAAAGCAACTTAGAGCTGCTAATCCAGTTCCCTCCCACACTCCATGCTTCATGTAATCTGCAGCACCAATGGCACAGAGGTAAATTGAAAGAAGACAGAGGGGAGTGAGCAAAATAACACATGTTAGGTCTGCATAAAAACCTTGTGGTCCATCTGCAGAACTCGTCATGCTAAACCACTACAAAAGAAATTTAATATATTAATCAGTGTCATCTTTTCAATCAGCACCACTTGTCCTGTATAAATTGGACTCTTACCTGCCAAACAGGACGTGCCTCTTTACGTACAGGAAGTTCTTTCATGCATAATTCACAATGTTCAGAATTGGATGCAGAGAGCCATTTTTCAAGACAACTTTTGTGAACCAATTGCATTGAACCACTACAGTTGCAAGGTGAGAGTAATGTTTCCTCCTTATCTCCTGAAATAAGACCAAAACGACATTTTAGAAAATACACAGTATTAATTTCTCAGTCAATTTCTGAATCAATTTTTATCTCACCATCGTGACATATCCGACAAATTGGTCCAGGACTAAGGAACCGTTTCTCAGGTGAACGCCGATGAGCTTGAGAACCACTCTCAACTCTAATTATGGGAGACGAAAAATTAGATGGAGGAGTACTTCTTCCTTCAATTTCCTTTGTTGGCTGCTGAAGTAGGTAAAGGGTACAAGGTACTTGATATATTTACGGGAGCACTGGTATCTAAGCAATTACAAGACCATAACATATTAGTTACCTTGACGTTACTCTGTTCCAATTTTGGTAGGGGACTATGCAAGGGTATGATGACACAGTTTTGATCCCTACTTGAAACAGGTGTAATGAAGCCCTCTGTCAGGCTCATTTGGGAAGGAGACGAGCCATGTCGAGTGGCATCCCAATAGGAGAATTCACCCTCAGAGACCCAGTGCTCGTATAAAATCGGGGTCTGAGAAGTAAGAAATTTAAGTAGAGTTTCGATAGGGTAACTGACAAACCCAGATATAACATAAACACACACATATTTACAGCACATACCCTCGGCGACGTAGCAGGATTCCACATCGCCTCCAGCCAATGAAGTCCAGTGCGACAGCCAAAACGGAACTGCTCTACACAACGCGATGCGGTGAGCGCCTCTCCCTATGAAAATGGGTTTCTCCTCCGGTGCTGAAAGTTCCCCTGATGAATCGAACAGGTGATGTCCCCACCTCGTGTCTTCGCGTACCACCGATCAATGAATGTGGGATGATGCATGAATTTTCCCGGTTAGGTGACTTTGAATACCAACGTCGTGTATGATCGGGCCATCATATGTCATAGCTAAAAATCGAAAAAAATGTTTCAAATAACGCAACGTTTACAGTTAAATTTTTTAAAACACTATATTGTCATAAGTTTATTCAACTTCTCAATAAGCAAGTAGTTAGAGTTAGTTCTTTATTTTTTATATTGTTGGTACACGTCACATTTTATTTCTGCTTCAAAAACAAATGAACTTGAAGTAAACAAAGAGGTTGTGTTCTGACAAGCACCCCCTGACCACACTTTCCACACACAAAAAATCTGTTTTAATTGTATATTTACTATAGCAAGTTTATTAAAGGATTTGTGAAAGGATTTACTTTTCCTGTCGAAGGATTTACTGGTGATAGATCTTAAAGTTAGAGCCGATACATTCGGTGACAGGTTAGGTCTCATTGTTTTGTTTAAATGTAATCATGGTGTAATCTTTAAAGCTTATTGCTCTGTATGTTCGATCTATCTCCGTTATATATTATGTGTTTTGGCCTTTATGCAATCTTTATAGATTTTTTAAACACCACTTAACTTTATACTTCCTTGCTTTATTTTGAAAACTATGCTGTGAAGACTTTTTTTTCTTTTGGTAGAATGGCATCCTCAGGAGAAGCAGCATGTTCTAAATCAAGTGTTGACGAACCATCTTCATCATCATCATCAAGCACCAATGAAAGTCGTAAACAGCCTGTCAACATAATAGTGTTAGGAATGGCAGGCTCTGGCAAGACATCTTTAGTGAAACGTATTCAAACGTACTTGCACTATAAACAGCTACCACCTTATGTCATCAATTTAGACCCCGCATGTGCTGAAGTGCCATATCTGACAAACATTGGTAAGCCCTTTTGCTAAACATACGTCTGTTCTCTATATAGCTTTGTTCTTCTAACACTGGCCTTATGTTTTTGCAGATATTAGGGATACTGTGAAATACAAAGAAGTTATGAAGCAGTATGGACTTGGTCCTAATGGTGGTATTGTTACATCTCTAAATTTATTTTCCACTAAGTTTGACCAAGTAAGTATTATGAAAACATGAATCCCTGTCATCGTAACGGTTAATTGTAATTTCTTACAAATACATTTTTCTAACAGGTCCTTAAGCTACTTGATCATGTTTCGGAGTCCCATAAATATGCTATTTTAGACACGCCTGGACAAATTGAAGTATTTACTTGGTCAGCTTCAGGCACTATCATTACGGAAGCATTAGCATCTACTTTTCCTACTATTGTTGTGTATGTTATGGACACAGTTAGAAGTGTCAACCCTGTAACATTCATGTCCAATATGCTATATGCCTGTTCAATATTGTATAAAACAAAATTGCCATTCATTGTGGTAATGAATAAAGTAAGTTTATCACATAGTATCACTGTTCTTAACGTTTCTCATAGATTGTGTAAGTTATTGGTGTGTGTTTTAATACTGTTTCAGACGGATGTAGTGGATAATGGTTATGCTGTGGAATGGATGAGAGATTTTGAAGCCTTTCAGGATGCCTTAGAAAATGAAACAACATACATTTCCAATTTAACTCGATCTATGTCATTGGCATTAGATGAGTTTTACTCAGGCCTTCGTTGTTGTGGAGTGTCAGCTTTAACTGGGCAGGGCATGGATGAACTTTTTAAGCTTGTAGATGATGCAGCAGAAGAATTTGAAAAGTGGGAAAATGCTGATTGTGTTAGTATTGAAAATCCCAATACTAAATTTGAGTATTGCTAATACTTTCTTTTTGTTACAGAGATTACAGAGTAGAGTGGGAAAAACTGAGAGATGAAAAGAAGAAAGATGCCACTGTTCAAGCCGCAGAGAAGCTCCGAAAGCTAGCCTTGGATGATGAACAGGGACTTGGAACTGCAGTACCTCTAATTACAACTGGTGGCAAAGGTCAAGATATTGTTGATATTTACTTAAAACACCCAGCCAATGAAAGTAGCGAGGATGAAGAGGGTGAAGAAGATGACCAGCCACAAGGTAACATTCTGAATTGGATATAAAAGACTTGCGAGTCTAGTTATAATTTTCTTAATTAATGACAGCAAAATAACTTTTCAGATGATGCTGAGATGAATGAAGAAATTACATTCCAAACCTATGTTAATAGTAAAAAGGAAGCTCGGAAGGATAAAGCAGAATCAGCCATTTCTAAAGAGCCATGATGTGAATTTATACATTAAAACCAAATCAAACCAAAACTGTTTAATTACACTTCCTTGAAAACTATGTTATTTATTAATAATTTATCACAGTAGAGTACAGATACATGTTAGTACTAATCATCTCCATTTTCTTCATCTTGTTCTTCAAAGTCACGGGTTTTTACATCAGTATCTTCACCATATTGAATCATGTTGTCAATGGTTAACAGTACATCAGCTAAACTTTCTTCATCACGAATATTCAAAGGACAAAATCGTACCAAACTATTGATGGGAATAAACAATAAGTCAGATTAATTGTAATTAGTCAGACATAAAAGTTACAGCCTAAAGATACTCTAAAAATTTACCTGTAGTCTTCTATTAACTTGCCAATTGCATCTGAGAGTTTCGCATGTTTCTGATTCCACTTAGAAGTGGACTCTGACATCTCAGACAACAAAACATGAGGATCCGGCTCTAAATAGCTAATATGAAATTTTTATAGAATTAACACCAGAAAAGAAATTTTTAAAGAGTCAAGTATAATTGTAGATAGACAGATTGAAGCAGTGTTTACCTATCAAGCTGTTTTCTGGCAGCTTTGGACAACAAGTCCATCTTCGTGATAACATTCAAATGCGGTAATTCCAAGTTCACCATAACTGATAAAGCTGCCATTGTGCCTGATAAAAATTTAGGCCCATCAACCAGAAATTGAGAATCTATCATAAACACAGCACACAGTCTGAAATTCAGTCTTTGAGATAAGACTTCCGCAAACTGACGAATAACTGTCATGTGGGTGTATAATTCTATTTGACCAGGACAATCGAACAAAATGTAATCATCGTCAGAGTCTCCCAGCTGTTCTTCTAGCCAATCAACATTTTCTAACAGATACCTGTAAGAAAAATATATCTGTGAGTACTTGACATTATTTCTCTCGCTTGATTTCATGCATGGACACAATCTTACTCCATGCAGAAAACCAGTCCACCGTTTGGTCCAAAGTGCATATCTTCATCCTGCATTGCATCGTCAACATGGATAAGTTCCCGAATGTCTGCCATTGGCTCATAGTCAAAGTACTCAGCGGCTGGATCCAAATTTACAACTTCAATAGTTTTTCGAGCATCAGCAGCATGACGAACTACTGATGAACAGTACGTTGACTGGGAGGAAATAATACAACACATAGCAGGTTAAGCAAAATTAGAAACACACTAAATCAAATAAAATCGAGATACTAAATTCATTTGTAGGTGCGTCCACAATAAATTTAACTTTGATCTCAATGAAATAGGAGAGGTAAATAAAATTTGAATGATTTTCTGATTTGCAATTACCTTGCCACTTCCTGCAGGACCAAGAACGATTTGGCCGTATCGCATTTTCGCTCACAAGATTTGCAAGGAATAACAAATTCTCAGGCTGTTAATCCTGTCAATATAGTTGTTGTTTATTTACTATTACACAACCATGCCAATTTATAGGTTACAAGTGCGAAAGACAAAAGTCTAAAAAGTGAGAGGGCTGTGAGAAGGGAAGGGAAGAGGTGAAGGCGGGAAAGGGGTGTACATTGGGTTGCCTTCCTCACAGGCGGCACAGTCGAACTGGATGGGATGAAAGTAGATAGAGGCCGGAGGATGATAAGTAGAGAAGAAATAATGTTTTCGCACGGGCATGAGTTGGCAACTTTGAAAGGACGGAGTCATAGAGGAAATATTCCAGCTGCTCGTCTACGTGAGGACTGAAATAGCGCTAGAGGAATGTTCCTGCTTGCAGGTCGAAGACTTTTGTGCAGCATATGCGCACAGGGTTTGCGCTGCTTGTTCGGTCATTATTTCCTCTGAGGAAGATTTCCTCCTCTGACAAACGCGAAGGACACAGTCAGGCGTTCCCTCTGATGCGGTTGGTGGAAAACGATCAGGGAGACTGCCGGGCTGTCATGAGGTGATGATTAATGTTCCTTTTGTCCGTCACGGCCATGTTTTGGCAAACCCCTCAGATCAGGGAAGACCTTAGGAAGACTCCTCGTAAACTCCATATGTGCGTATTGAATCTGGGCGCAATTGTGCCCCGTGCCCCGTGTCGTCGCTTTCCACATACCAGGTGGCTGATTAACTCTACGCACTTCTGTAGTTAGACTGTACCGCACGCACGAGTGCGGGTGGGTTGCCTACTTTGTCCGGCCCGTAAGGCGCCGTGGACAGGGGCGATAGGCAAGCCCGCTTGCACTCGTGCGTGCGGTACAGTCTAACTACAGAAGTGCGCGGGGTAGACAGGCGGGTGGTCCATCGAGTCCACCGACCCCTGCCTTTATTTTGCTGATACTGCACCGTGTACCGTCTGCAGGCGGGCGGGTTTGCCTACCGTGTCGCTCACCACGGTGCCTTATGGCTCCGTGATAGTATAAGCAAAATCAAGGAAAG